TGCAGCGCGCCCGCTTCGGCCGCGGCGCCGGTGGCAGGCGGGCCCGCGGCCGCGGAGACGCCATGGGGCGCGGCGGCGGCGGCGGGTTCGACCGCAGGGTGGCGGGCGGCAACTCGGCCTTTGTCAACGTCGGCGCGGGTGAGTCCTCTTGCAGCCGCGAGCTCGCAGGCCTTTTGAGCCCACCTGGTGGCTTGTGGATTTCGTGCTGACGGACGCTTCGCTGTTTCCACCGTGCTTAGTTTCCTCGGGCTATGGGAGCGGGCAGGGCGGCTTCAAGACTAGCTATCGCGACCAGTCCAACCGGCTCAACGCCGACATGTTCAACGGCCCGGCGCAAGAGTACGACGACGACGACGGCGGCGATGAGCACAAGGACGGGTCCGGCTCCGGCATCAGGGCCACCCCAAAGCGGCGCGACGTCATGCCCATGGGCATCGTGCGCCGCGAGCCCAAGAAGAAGGAGCTCGTCGTCGCCAGCTCGGCCGACATGGTGGCCAAGGAGAAGGCGGCGGCGGGGGGAGGCGCCGACACCCAGGAAACCTCGTCGGGAGGCGACGGCGCCACCCCGGCCGAGGACGTCGCCATGGAGGACGACGGGCAGGTCTGGCCCGGGGCCCCGACGGAGCGCAAGGTCAAGGTGCGGGGCTCCGACGGCCAGGAGATCGAGGTGACCGAGATCGACGACCGCCGCATCCAGCAGCGCGCGCGGTCCGCCACCGCCAAGGACGAGTACGGCGACGACGGCGGCGGCGACAACAAGGCCAAGGTGCGGGCCGAGGCAAAGTACCAGTCGCGCGAGGACGAGGTGCGGGCCGACCAGCTGGCCATGATGCTCCGGGAGCTGGGCCCGCGCGCCGAGGGCGACTCCAAGGACGGCCGGCTGTACCTGTTCCAGCTGCCGCCCGTCATGCCGCCGCTCCGCGTGGTTCAGCGGCCCGACAAGAAGGCCAAGCCGAAGACGGTGGTCAAGGACGAGCCGGTGGACGAGGACGGCGGGGTCGTCACTACGGATGTCGGCCAGACCTTTGACCTCACCGAGGGGGCGGCGGGCGCCACCAGCAGCAGCAGCAGCGGCGACGGTGGTGGTGGCGGCGGCAGCGAGGCCGAGAACGACGAGTCGAACCCCTACCCGGACACGGTCGGCTACGTCGGCAAGATGACGGTGCGGCGGTCCGGCAAGGTGACGCTGGACTGGGGCGGCATCGCGTACTCGGTCATGCCGGGGATCCAGACGTCGTTCCTAACAAACGCAGTCCTGCTCGAGGACGCAGACAAGAAGCCAAAGTCGGGCGAGGTGGCGGGCCGCGCCTACGGCATGGGCAAGGTCATGGGCCGCTTCGTGTGCCGGCCCGTGTTCAGGGAGCCCGTGCCCTGGGTCGTCGACCCGGCCGACCTGGCCGAGGCAAAGGCTGAGGCCGAGGCCAAGGAGGTCGCCAAGGCCAAGGCGCTGGAGGATAAGGCCAGGTTGCGCGCGGCATAGGATGGTAGGAGGAGATCTTGCTCTTTCCCGCTCTCTATAGCTGTCTACCCCCATCGTCACGATACCCATGGAGGTATAGGCCCGTCATGATCAACATCAATGCACATCATCTTTTCTAACATTGGCGCCTGTGTAATATTGTGCACATAGCTGGGCCCTTGTGCCGTTGGTACCGTCCATCGGGATATTAGTACTAAATCTAAAGACGCGCCAGCCCAAACAGTTGCCCTGCATTACCTATTTTGGAGGGGAGAAAGTTGGAGAGAGAAAAGTTGGTACCCTTATGCGCGCTCATGTGCTATGTCACTTAGTATTCCATTTTTCAACAGTACCCCCCGGCTGATCCGTCCATGCCATCAATTCGTGTTCTCGTATATTCACATGTGCTTGGACACCTCTTGGCCTTGATAAAATAATGTCGGATAGGTGAGCATGATTAAAATAATTTTTTTAACGCTTGTGTTGAACACCGAACTGCGAGCTCCGCCGTGCTGCGTCCGATCTGCCACCTCCGCCGCCACCCTCACTACCAATCGGCGAGGGCCAGGAGCCGTGTCGGAAATCGACGTCGATCTTGGGGATCTGCGGCGCCTCCTGCCTCGCGGCGCCATCCCACGGTCGCTGCGACTGCGACTGCGACTGCTGCTGCTGCTGCTGCTGCTGCTGCTGTTGCGCCGCCGAGTTCGACCTGCTGTGGAGGCGGCCGCCGCCGTACTCCTCCACCCCGGGCATAAACGTCTCGCTCATGGGGCTAGCCGCCGGGTTGGTTGCCAGGCCCCGCGTCGAGTCGCTGTCGCTGTCGCTGCCGCTCCTGGCCTCCCGCCCGCCGCCGACGCCGCCAACCGACCTCCGTTGATACTGCTGCGGGGGCGGCGGCGAGGCTGCCGGGCTGGGTATTGAGGTCACGGTCATCGTCTTGGTCACCAGCACACCCTTGCCCGCCGCTGTCGACGATGACGATGTAGTCGTTGCCGCCGCCACCACAACCCCGCCACCTCCTCCGCCACCACCACCTCCTCCTCCTCCTCCTCCTCCGCGGGCGGACTCGAGGTCCTCGAGCGGCATGTCGGCGGCGCCGAAGCCGGGCATGGCCCTGCTGCCGCGGGTGGCGGCGGAGCGGTTGGTGGCGGAGCGGAGGGCGGCCGACTTGCCGCTCCTGCCGGGGCCGTAGTAGCCGCCGCCCGTGGGGCCGCTGCGACCCGTGACGCCGGTAGAGCCGAAGCCGGGAAGTCGGAGCTTGCGGAGCAGCGGCCGGATCGTGGCCAGGCTCGTGGCCATGATGGCGACGCCGGGCTCGGTGAGGGTCCAGACCATGGCGTCGGTGCCGGCGACTAGGGGAGAAAAAAAAACACACACGGGGTTAGAGAGGGGAGGTGGTGCGGGTTGAGAGTTGGGAGGGGGGGGAGGGGGGGGAGGGGAGGCAGGAATAATGAGGTCCTACATAATATGTCGGCCGTGTCGTTAAGGTCGGCGAGGAACTTGAGTCGGATGAGGGTGGCGATGGACGCGCTGGACAACGGGAGCCGGTTAGGGTCAATGAACCTCACCCTCCCCACCCCCTCTTATCTCGAGAGTAGAAGTCGCCGCGCATAAAAAAGACTCACAAAACACCCAGGCTCAAGATGAGCATGACAGTCAACTTGGCCTGCTTGGTCATCTTGATCTGCCAGATGATGGGCACGGGCAGCAGGGCGTAGAAGAAGTCGCTCAGGACCGTCATGGCGCTCAGGGCCAGGGCGGCGCTCACGACCTGGTCCGACGTGACGCACTTGAGGCCCGGGATGGTGTAGTCCCACTGGGCCTCGACGGGGCTGCACTGGAAGATGTTCCAGAAGAAGAGCACGACGCTCCAGACGAAGACGATGGCGGCGCTGGCCCAGATGGCGTACTTGTACTTATTCTCGCCCGACAGCCGCAGCAGGAAGACGGCGATGCTGAGCTTGATGAAGAGCATGTTGCTCACGTAGCTCGCTGTCGTTTGTCGGGTTGGTTAGTCGATGTTGTCGATGGCGAGCAGGTGGCGTCGACGAGGGGCCGCCTTACCTGTTGCAAGAGCTTGCCACTGCGGTTTTGTATGCCAAAGGGGGGGGAGCATGGCGGGCTTGTTGTCAGATCCAGGGCTCGATGGGACAGCAGATGACAGACGCAGCCGACCAACCTTTAATGCTTCTATTTCCTGCCTCTGCGGCAGAGCTTTGTTATGCCTCCCTATGCCAAAAGGGACACCGATGAGGATAAAGGTACATGATACCGTGAAATTTGCCTACAGAAGAAAAGAAAAGACCCGTTCTCGTCAGGTTCACCGTATCCGGCTAGCGGTGTTCTGGGTGTGTGTGTGTGTGTGTGTGTGTGTGTGTGTGTGTGAAGAGGGCAACGGACCTGTGATAGCAGCATCAGCCAGTCGTCGGCCAGGAAGCTCTTGGTGAGACAACTTCGCACGTATACCCTCAGGGCGACCGACACGTAGGTGAGGGCCAGGAAGGTCGCGGCCGTGATGGTGAGGGCGGCCCCGTTGTTCTCCTCCAGGTTCACCGGCTGCGACGACATGATGGGGAGGAGCACACAGCCTGATGCCCCCTCCCTCCCCTTGCTTTTCTGCGGCCTTTTTTTTGTTCTTTGGCTTTTTTTCCAGAAGGTTTGGGGGCGAAAAATAAAAAGAAGGGAATAATAAAGCTGTTCCTTCAAGCCGTGGGCCGTTGGGCCAAAGAGGTAGCGCGGCGCTCGAGGCTGAGGTAAAAGCAAGAAAAGAAGAAGGAAAAAAGAGCGAAAGGGAGAAGAAAAAGAAAGGATGCAAAAGAGAGTGAGACCGAAAGGGGTATATATCAGTTTGCCCAGAAGGCCAGGATGGAGCAGGGAGGCGGGAAAGCGAGATATCCGAATCGATGAAGCGGGATCGGGCAGGGAGGGACGGAAAGGCGGTTCGACGAAGGATCGAAAAGTTAGATAGACGCTCACCCAAGAACTCGGTGGCTTCTTTTTTTTTCCCTTGACAGCAGCGGTAGGTTGTGCGCGACCCGTCCTCGTAAAGTGGTATGATTCCGGCTAAAAAGGACGACATGGTACTAGCCTTTCAATACATATGTACGGGCTCAGGGGGGCAGCGGCAGCGGGAGCAACCCAGCAACACACACCCACGCACACTTACATGGTGTGCCGGGACGCACATACAACGCTCGCGCACTCGCGACGGGCACACACATGCGCTAGCAAAGCACCCCTAGCAAGCCAGCCCTCGTCTTGGGACGTTTCCCAACCGGGAAAATGGGGCGGGCTGGGCTGCATACAGTCTGTGCAGGACACACACGCAGCAGCACGCACACAGCACACATACCACATGTCTGCCCATGTAGAGAGCAATGCCATGGACACATCCATGGACACACAGAGCGTGGCAGGCATCCCTTCCCGGCCCAACCGGCCAGGCGCCACGGAGCAACAAGGCCACCTCCTTCCAGCCCCTCGCATGTTGAGGGTAGCATTGCAGAAGCACGGATGTGGGATTGTACCCGAGTATGTAGCATGGCATGGACGCAATGCAGGTCCATGGGTTTTCTTCTTCTTCTTTTTTCTCTCTTTTTTACTGTGTAAGCCAAGTCAGCCAGCGTCTCTTTCCCTCTCCCGTCGCTCACCCTCGCTCTCCCTCTCCATCGCCCTCCCCACAGAACCCGCGCGGGAAGCTGGCTCCATGATAAAGAACCCTTGCATTAAAAAAAAAAAAAAAAGGACGAGAGAGCCAGGTCGGCTGGTGGGAAACCCGGGTCATGGCGTTTTCCAAGAATTTTTACGAGAATGGTAGTGGAGGTCGTCTTTTGCCCTAGCGCGGGAAGAATTCTCATCCCAACTCACAGCCCCTTTGAATGAAGGGGACGAGAAAAATCCGAAGAAACCCAAAAAAAAAAAAAAAAAAAGGGGAAACCCGCCAAAACAACACACACACCCTTCACACTCACCGGCCGCCTTGCCGAGCTGACGCCCAGCAGGTCTCGGCCGTCCCAGGGGCCTGGGCCAATTGGCCACACCCGCCATATGGAGCGAGAGCGAAGCATGCAGCTCCCGGTTCGGATCGCAGCAGGCAATCCCATGGAATCAATTCAATATTCAATCGCGATGTGGGTGTTGATCAATGCCGCCTATTTGTCCGCCTCCACCACCTCTCCCCGTCTCCTCCTCATCTTAGCGATTCACCTCCCCCGTCTCTCCTTTTTCTCGTCATTTCTCTCCCGGATGGATGGATGCGGCTTTTCAGCTCGATCGTGGGCATCAGCAACGAAAAGACAGGGATGGAGGGCGTTGGGGAGGGAGGGTGGGGGAACGGTGGGATTTGGATGTCTCCGGGACGAACCCATCCATTCAGGCACAGACGCACACACACGCACACACCACCACCACCACCATCATCACTACCCCCGCGCCTGCATCTCCCCTTGTCGCGTGCCTGAAAAACGCGATGCGCTAGGCCCGGGGGGGGGGGGGGCTGTCGTTTGTGATTGACAGCGACAGGAACAGCCAGGAACTAGCTGGGTTTCAAAAAAACGCATCTGGGATCACACGGGTCGCCGGCTCGAGGCTGCGGTTTGGTGTGGGTGCGGATGAGGCTTCCCTCCCTTCCTCTCTCCCCCCTTCTCCCAAAGCCGGATGGACCGGGTTCCCACGCCTTTTTTTTTTCCCGCCCCAACACCGCGCCAACAGCCTCCTCCTCCTCCTCCTCCTCCTCCTTGTCTCGCGTGTTTCTTCATTACCCGCCAAGCCCCCCGCACACGCTCATTACCCACTAAAGAAACAAAATGTCCGCTAGCGCCGTTGCATCTTGCGCCGCCGCTAATGCATGGCATCTGCCTCTCCCCACTGCTGTTTTGGTGATACCGAATTCGAACCAAGCAAGGGTCGCCATGCAAACGACACGAGCGAAAAAAAAGTGTAATTCTGACTCTTGGCCCCAGGAACGCAATCCTTTCTTCCCTTCTCAGCTTCTCAGGACGAGGCTTGGGCCTGGAACACCCGACAGGGGCTGTGCTGTGCCTTACGCCGTCGTCAGAGGTCGAAACCATAGCTGCGCGGCTGCTTTGCAGGGGGTGCTGGCACCTTGCCTTGTTGCGTCGCCTAGGTATTGGCTTCGTCAAGTCCCAAGCTTTTGATCTTTGCCTGCACCAGGTCAGGGAATAAGCCAAGAATTGATGTTTTTCGTGACAATACCCAAGGGCATATACCTGCCATGCTAATATCTACTCTGTTTTGAGCTGATGCACGCCAACCTCACAGCAAACCGCCACGGCAAAACAAACGCTAAGAGGTCGAGTACGACCATGAATGACATGGTACCAATGGCGTTCAGTCAGCCATGACAGGAGGACATTGTCCGTGCGGTCCGCCCGGATGGCCCGACTTGGGCGGGCCCAGTGGCCGGGGCCCCAACAGCTGAGGACCCTCCTGGAATGCAACCTCGCCCAACCTTTGACATCGGATGGTTCGCTTTATCGACACGACTGCTGCTCGTCCAAGGCCACGGGATTTCTTTGCGCCGTCCCGCCGCCATAGATAATGTCTCTTCCTATTCCTCCCGCACTGTCGATAGTCGCCGAGGACCCCGAGACGCCGCCCCTGCCCTTGACCGCCGCCCACCGTGACCCTCTCCGTCCTGTCGACTTGTGTTCTGCTGCAGCGCCTGCGACGCCGGCAGCAGACAGGCCGAGTCTGCCCGCCCGTGTCCGAAATGCTTCTCCTGCCTGGCCGCCGCATCGAAGAGCCCGCCGTTGGAGCCACTGCCTCCGCCGCTCTGTCCGGGACTTCCGTTGACCGATTCCTCGTCTTGATGTCTGCCTTCGCCCAGCACCACTCCCACCACGTCGTCAAGTACCATTCCCACCACGTCGTAGGACCGACAGGCGAGGTAGGATACCGTATGAAACACGACATGTAATAGCCCCGTCATCAAGATAGCGCAAAGGGTCGCCAGTCTTGATGCGTTCCGAGCCATGTGCGGCCAGGCTTTGGTAGCACTGTTGGAGCCCCGGCCCACCGCAGCTTCTATGTCCACTGCGTATTCCTCGTTGGAGTTGCCTTCCCCGACGCCCGAGTGACCCGAAGAGCCCTCAACTAGAGAATCACCATCTGTGCCCTCTGATACACTGGTGGATTCCGTGTCGCTGCCCTCGTCAATTGTGTCTTGTAGCGGAGACCAACGATTCTGGCCTGTTGGAAGTGTTAGTGGAGTAGCTAGCGACTGGGCCCCCCAAAGTGTGGACATTGATAAAGCATATCAAGACAAACTTACTTGGGCTCCTGAGATTGGCCCTGGAACGATTTGCCGTTTGGACAGCACGCGAGCCAATATGCGAGAAACCCCTCTTTACCGTCTTGCACACTATTTCTCCTCCTCGCAACACCACGTCAAATGGTACGCCGGCTCTCTCTGGGTTCCCAGCCCCGCGGGGGTCGACTCCATTGCTCTGCTGCTTCGACTTGCAGCTGTGCTCTGCAACAGGAGGAAGAGTGTAGCCGACAGGGCCGCCATTCGTCGGCCTATCGTCGGCCCAGGTAGGAGGAGGAGGGCGGTGCTTTATTTTATCACCGTTCGTCGAGCGACGCCCCTTCACCATCAGGTGAGGATGAGGGCTGTCGCTTCCAGTGTCACCTGTCAGCCAAGTGCGGATACGGACAGGGAGGGCCGTGGCGCTTGCAGCTGCCTGAATATGTGGTGCAGGTGAAGGGCCTGTTTCCGCCATAGACTCTCTGACATTAGCGCTGGCTGTCTTCTTTGCATTGTATCCCCCGCTCAGCGGCCCTGATGGCTCACGTTGTCGCTTAGCCATAATCTTCTTGGCCTTGTGCTCGACGTCTGGGTACGGCGCCGGCTCTTGCGGTACCAGTCTATTGTTGCTCTTGCGGCCGCCGTTCATCATCGCCGACAGTTCACGCTCTAGACGAGACCTTGCCTCGTTGGACCCCAGCCTACCCTTTAGTGGTTCTACGGGCCGCCGAACTGGTGGTGTCACCTTCACACGCTGCCGTTGCAACTGCAATAGCCAATGGCATGGGCCTAGGCGAGATAGTGTTGTTCCACACGCGTCTGCTATAGCATCCTGCTCGTCCATCAAGGAGTCGAGTGACTCGTCAATCGAACCCTTGGTGCTGTCTTCTCCCCACTAGAGAATGCATTCGAGCACTGTGATCAGGTGGAGGCGGGCGCCCTCGAGCTCGTCGAGGCGGTCCTGGTCACCCTCAGTCTCGTGGTAGAGGATATTCCATACAATCTTGGCGTGTTCTATGGCCCACTCCTTGCTGAACCTGATGTCGCCCTCCATATCGTCCTCCTTTCCGTGGGCGAGACGGTCGCGGGTGATGGCCTTGCTGCGGGCATTGGCCATCATGAGCTCCAGATCCAGGGGCGAGATGTCGTTCTTCTTGGCCACGAGGCTGTCGATCTCGCTATTAAGCAAGGCTAGGCGCATATCGTCTTGCTTCGTGCACCAGCGCCCATGGCAGTCCATGCAGTTGCCGTCGAACTGGTAGCACGCCAAGATGGTCTGCTTGGCCGCCTCGCACAGTTGGGCCGGATCGTTCTTGGGGCAGTAGATCAGGAGCGAGTCCTTGTGCCCACACTTGTAGTTCAGCACCGCGAGGTTGCACATGGCGGACGGCTATTGGTGAGCAAGATGCAGTCTTGTTCGGGCCTACTTGGATAGGACAAGGGGGGCTGAGGCTCAAGCGGCTGAGCGGCTGTCTGAGCCGGCCGGATATGCAAAGAAGGTGCACGATGCCGTGTCTGCCGTGGGTGGTGTACTGTTGCCGATGCCGATGTCCCTGTCTGTGTTGATGTAGAAATTTCGATGTTGGACGGACTGTCTGATCTCTGGCCGGCCGTGTATTGTAGGGGGAGGATGGGCAAAACGAGAGTGCCGGTCAAGATGCGATTCCCGGAATGGTGATTTCGGCGATGGGTGACCAAGGCGAGTAGCAAAAAACTAGAGTTGTGCCGCGCGACAGTTGACAGCGGCAGACGCGAGAGGCCAGGGAAGGAAAGATGCTAGGCCAGCACCTTCCGCGGTCTCTCGCCCATGGCTGGCACTGCACCTCTCGAGCCGGCAAGTTGCAGAACAGCGCCCCAGTTGCGACTTCCCACGATGACCTCTCCTCGCTGAGTGATTTCTTGGCGTGCTGGTGTGCTGGTGTGCTCCTTCCCATCACGGGAGCCACGGTTAGTAATGGTCGCCGTTTGTCTTCAACGGGAAGGACCCGCCAAAAGCCAACGGTAGCGGCGGGAGGCTGCCCAAGGCACTCCAGGATTGAGTGAAGGCGCTTGGCAGGGTCGAGAAGCAGGAGCGAAGCACAACGTACCGTGTGGGATCCCAGGGACTAAATGGGCAGACAGCAGTACCAGTTCTATACGTCAGTGCCAGCCCCAGCCCCAGCCAAAAGTTGACTTTGGCCAACTTTGGTTGCCACCGCATGACGACCGTTTGTCCAAGCTCATCGGTCTCGACCGTGAGAAAGCTTGGTGGCTGCAGATTCGGCTTTACAAGGTAATTGTACGACTTGGAGAGATGATGTGCGACGAGAAAAAAAACTTTGCAGGTGCTTGACAATTGGCGGGACTTTACCATGCGGGCAAACGTGATGAAGTGTGCTTTGTAGGTAAGGAAAGGGGGCACGAGTCTCCAGCCCGTGTAAACATCGTCTGCCAGGACGTCGAGGCTGTGCATCCTTTGTGATGCTCAACTGCTCGCTTTGCCTGCGCTAGAACCTCGTGTCCTACCAACCCCCCGACATCGGTCACAGATATCTGAGCCATGGCTGCAGATAAAAGCAGTCAAGGTTTTCGTTCGCCTTGGTTTTGGTTTGGCACGTAATACAGTACCCATCCGTATCACCTCCCTGGTATCTGGGTAGGTGCTCCTACCTGCTCGGTATGGACATTGATGATGCGGTACGACGGTATGAATCAGTGGCGGTCGCAAGAGATTTTAAAAATAGGCGAGAGAACGCGTATGCGGCTGAAAGGATATGTGAATCAGATTGTCGTCCAATTTTATGGCCGTTCCAGACGTCTAGCAAGCTGCCCATTCACTCTTAATACCTCGGATCACAATGAAGTGAGTGTGATTATCACGGGGACATGAAAGATCTAGCAAGCAGCAACGATTATGATGGAGAATAACGGGATAATCTATCAGCTGAGCCATACGCCAGCTACCAAAACTCCAAGACCAAGGAAAAAGAGACAATGTCGCCACGACGTCAGACTAACTAGCGTGGTGAAGGAGCTATGGTAGGAGAGCGTGAGATCAGCGTGAGATCAAAGTTGACGGCAGCCAGATATCCTATGCAGAAAGCGATAGAAACCCTCGCGTTAGGAGAGCGTAAGTTCCGGAAAGAACTGTGAGATCTTCTTGGGATCGCCAAAGTTGTTGCGCGGGAGTGGCTCTGGTGGTGTGTTGGGCTCTGATTCGGGCTCAGGGGTTTCGACGTTGCCACCATGGCCGCCGTTGCCGAGGCTCTGCTCGAGCTCGTTCAGTGACATGCGCTTCTTCTTGATGTTCCGCTGCGCTGGAGGGTTGGGCGTCGCGTGGCGTGTCACCACAAGCGAGTTGGGAGCAGTAGAGGAGCGACTGGAGCTGTCGGTGAACGTCGAAAGCGGGATCCTAGCCCGTGCTATCGTAGCCGCGCTCACCTCCGGGGTCCGGGACCGCAGAATATTGAAGGGTGGGGCAAGAGACCTCTTGGGTCCCTCGGGCTCGCTCGGCGAAGTTACCGTCACCGCATCCTCTAGCCTAGGCAGAAGAGCGTGCTTCTCGTTGGACGAGAGGCCCTTGGTTTGCACAAAGGCAGCCGATCGGGCTTGACCCGGGCTCCGGTTGGAATACTGATCGTTGATGGGATGGACCATGACGGTCTGTCCATGTATGGTGAGAACGGAGTTCGTCGGAACGTTTACCCAGTTTTCTAGCAAGTGAACGTTAGCCAGAGTCACAGGGTTTCGGGTTTTGGCGTCGCGCCCGAGACACGTAATGGGGGTTCAAACCTCTCTCAAACGTCAGAGGCTCGCTGGCCACCAAAACAACGTCGGCGCCCTTGTCACGACGCTCCATCTGAAAATTTCGGTCATCTCCAGGAGATGGCCGATTTTCCCACTGACTCCCAGACGAGTAGTACAGGCTGGCGGCCTGGTCGGTTGAACTGCTGACGTATCGTGTGCAGATGATGCTGTGGCCGTCAGTGATGGCAAAGTTGAGCAAGCTGCGGGTGTCGACGTTCTCGGCGTGTATGACGCTCTCGGGGATGGCGTCGATTAGCTCGTTGATCAGCTCGATCGTCTTCAGCATTGCCTTCCGTAGAACCGTGGGGCCGAATCCCTTCTCGGGCTGGGAGCCGGGGTCGTAGCCCATGCGCTCGAGGGTGTCGAGGAAGAGCGCAAAGGCCCACTCGCTGTCGGTGCCGCCGACGACGCCGAGGTACCAACGGTCAGCGAGACGCTCGCCGAGCCGGCGCTTGATGTACTTCCAGCCGCCGAGCCCGCCGTTGTGCATCCACATCAGACTGCCATGGCAGAAGGGGTGGCAGTTGTCTTCAGAGAGGGAGCCCTCGGTCGTGGCTCGCACGTGCGCGAATATGAGGCGCGAGGCCGTCTTGCTGGCGAGTCGGGTCAAGTTCGGCGAGTTCCAGGCGGGTATGGTCGAGGTGAAGAGGCAGGGCGCGGCGCCGAGCTTTGGAGACGTGTAGAAGCCTATTCCGAAGCCATCGGCGTTGTTTTGGCCCCTACGGGTGTCGAGTCGCAACCGCGCATCGAAGGACTGCTTTAGGATGGAATGCGTGGGCTCGAGGATCAGCTTGGAGAGGAGGATCTCGTCGCTTCCTTTGTAAACCTATTCGGCGAGCGCCCCGGAACTCGTTGGCAACCGTCAGTAGTGTACCCCGGCCAGAACTCTGGAAAGAGGCCGGTCTCGGCGGCCTGGGTGTGGAGGGTCAGAGCAAATGCTAATAGGACGTACCAAAAACCTGCACATCTTGCGGGGTGCGGGACCCGTCCGTTGTCGAAAAAAAAGAAAAGCCCAAGATGGAATAGGATCGAGCAAGTCAAGCGCTGGAGTCGGGGACGCTGCGAAAGTTCGGGCTTGGGTTACTGAGATGACAGGTGGTGTTGCTCAGACCCTCCTTCCCCTTTTCCCTCGCTGCCTTGGAGGATCCCTCGCTGCCTTGGAGGAGGCGGTCAGGAATTGGCGCCCCGACAGCGCTCAGCCGTGCTGATTGTGTTTGCAGGGCGCAGTAGTGCGGGCGAACGCGTTGCCTGTTGCGGCGGCTGGAGCGCTCAGAGGCTCAGAGGGCGGACGTCAGTGGCATGTGCGGGCTCAATGCCAAGACCATGTTTGAAGTTCATGTCGGCGTGTGACGAAACCAGCACTCTGAATTGCGGAACAGCCAGGACCGCTTGATGTCAACTGATTTTAGCAGGGTCGCTGCCCGGGGTGTGTCGGCAATGCACGCTGCGATGGGCCCCTGCAGATGGATCTCCACTGTCGTGTTCCCCCGTTTGGGGCGGGCGGGGTCATCCGGGCTGTTTAAGCGGCATATCGCCCCAGCAGCTGAAAACGCCCCCACAAAAGCCGGTGATAACCATCACGACTGGGGGTTGGAGCTATCTAGATTACCTAGTGATAGGAGTAGAGGAATAGGTAGTAACGTAACTACCTGTTTTTGAGGGGTACGGTTGGGTTTTTCTACCACGGACATGACTTTCTTGTCAAAGCTGGGAGACCTGTCAAGCATTCAAGTAAACAATACATCCATACTGCATGCAAGCAGAATGCTCAGCAATATTTCTTGTTGACACGTACCTACCGTGCACGTCAGGCTTTGAGATGGGGCGCATATAAAACAGGAGCTCCCTGAGGAACAGGTGAGCGAAAAGGGGGTGCCGGAACCTCCGAAATATTGAGGAGTGATGGTGCAAGCTGGTTCCCGAACGACCCAATTACTTTGTGCCTGACTCGACACAGCGATACTGTTGTAGTTGGCACTGACTCGTCGGGCACGGGCCATATCTTAATTCAACGCCCAGCCAGCAAACCAGGCGCCAAGCCACTGTGGTTGGCTAGGTCCAGTGCGTTGGCGGTCTGGTGAGGCAGACACAAAAATCACGCCCAAGCTCGACCCGGCAGCCATCCGCCACCAACACCCAACCCGCGAGCCCCTCCAGATTACGCCCGCATGTCTTGACGGCATCGCCAGCCCTCGCATGCGCACATTTAACTCCGAGACACGTGCCACGCCGCGCTTGTCCGCACCCCCAGTCTCCGGCCGTCGCCCGACCGGCCCGCCATGAGTGGACGGCTCGTTGCCGTCGGGGCCTTGGCCCCGGTGCGCCGCGCCGCTGTCCGCTACTACCACCGCCTGCCCACCGGCGGGCTCCAGCGTTCAGATGCTGTCGTCCGTGCCACCCAGCGCCGTATGTGGCTGTCCGGGAACGACTTCCACAACGCCGTCGCCGTTCGGAACGCCTCCTTCGCCCGCATCATCCCCAAACTGGTCTTCAAGTTTGCCAGGATCCCCGCCCTCTTCGGCGGAGTGATGATCGGGGGTGCCGCTTGGGTCCAATACCAGGCCATCCGTATGGGCCACTCCACCCCTAGCCCCCCAACAGCATACCCCCAAAGTATGTTGAACGAATGGACGCTAACGTGCAGCAGAGGTGAGCAACTCGGCCTACGACATGTACAAAAACACCAAAGACTCGGTAACGACGACCGCTGGCGGCCTGTGGGACGGGGCCCTGAATATCGCCGGACAGACGAAGCAGGGTTGGCAAAATACAAAAGAGAGCTTGGAGATGCCCGACTGGCTGCGGAACATAATGCGGGCAGACGAGGAGGGGGCCACCGGCAACGGCGGGCCTGATCCCAACGGAGGCAGGGAGCCGCCCAAGCAGAGCCGGGCCGGCGGTGTTGCTGCCGCCGGAGCTAGCGCCGCTGCCTATGGCTACGACCAGGCTTCCGAGAAGGACAACCGCACGCCCGAACAGGCGGCCAAGGATGACCAGATGATGGTCCTGACCAAGAAGATGATCGAGATCCGAAACATGCTCCAGAAGGTCGGCCAGTCGAGCACACTATCCCTCCCATCCATCGTCGTTATCGGATCTCAGTCTTCAGGAAAGAGCTCGGTCCTCGAGGCCATCGTCGGGCACGAATTTCTCCCCAAGGGCACCAATATGGTCACCCGCCGACCCATAGAGTTGACGCTTGTCAACACTCCTGATTCCGCGATCGAGTACGGCGAGTTCCCCGATCTCGGCCTCAGGAGAATCACGGACTTCTCCTCCATCCAGAGGACCTTGACGGAGCTCAACTTGGCTGTGCCCAACTCTGAGTGCGTCTCGGACGACCCCATCCACCTATCCATCTACTCGCCCAACGTCCCGGATCTCTCCTTGACCGACCTTCCCGGCTATATCCAGGTTGTGGGCCAGAACCAGCCGCTCGAGCTCAAGCAAAAGATTTCGGAACTTTGCGACAAGTACATCCAGCCGCCCAACGTGATTCTGGCCATATCCGCCGCCGACGTCGATCTGGCGAACTCGGCAGCGCTGCGGGCCAGCCGCCGCGTCGACCCCCGGGGAGAGCGCACCATCGGTGTTGTCACCAAGATGGACCTGGTCGAGCCCACACGGGGCTCCGCCATCCTGAACGATATGCAGTATCCCCTCCGCCTGGGCTATGTCGGTGTCATCTCCCGCGCCCCGCAGACGACCAGCCTCTTCAAGAAGGACGCGGGCGATCTTTCGGCCAACATCTCCAAGAACGAGCAGTCCTACTTCACGTCGCACCCGATAGAGTTTGGTCCCGACGCTGGCGTCCACGTCGGCACCACCACTCTGCGTAAGAAGCTCATGAATGTGCTGGAGCAAACCATGTCAGCCAGCCTGCAGGGCACTAGTCAGGCGATCCGCCAGGAGCTCGAGGAGGCGACGTACGAATTCAAGGTTCAGTACAACGACCGGCCGCTGTCGGCCGAGTCGTATCTGGCCGAGAGCCTGGACGCCTTCAAGCACTCGTTCAAGCGATTCACCGAGGAGTTTGGTCGCCCGCAGATGCACGAGCTGCTCAAGAACGAGTTGGACCAGCGTGTCCTGGACCTCCTGGCCCAGCGGTACTGGAACAAGCCCATCACGGACCTCTCGCCGCCGCCGCCGGGCCTGGAGAACCTGGCGGACCTGCCCAAGGCGGACCCGGAGTCTCTGTACTGGCACCGGCAGCTGGATGCCTGCACGTCCGGGCTCACCAAGCTGGGCGTTGGCCGGCTTGCCACAACGGTGGTGGCCAACAGCATCCAGGCGCGCATCGACGGTCTCATCGGGCAGTCGACTTTTGTCAACCACCCCTTTGCCCGGCAGGCCATCACGGAGGCGGCGTCTGGAATCCTGAATGACCGCTTCTACAGCACGAGCGACCAGGTCGAAAACTGTATCAAGCCCTACAAATTCGAGATTGATATGGAGGAGCGCGAGTGGAACCATGGCCGCGAGCACGTCGCCGGCGTTCTCAAGAGCGAGCTCGAGGCATGCCAGAACGCCATGAAGAACCTCGAGAACTCGGTCGGCGGCAGGCGCAAGCTCAAGGAGGTCACCAACTTCGTCGAGAAGGCTAGGCGCGGCGACGTCGTCGTCGAGGGCCAGGGTGCAAGTGGGGCCGGCGGCTTCAGTGCTGCTCTGCTTCAGAAAGGTAAAACAATAGCCCGTCATCTAGACGGTCCCTAAACCCAGTTTCAGCGTGTCTCGCGATCTATCTCTTTTACTAACGACATGCCCGTTGGCCGATAAAAACAGGCCGAGAAGCCGTTTTCCTTCGCACTAGGGCCGACATGATCAACATGCGGCTGATTGCGGTCAAGTCCAAGCAGTGCAAGAGCATGGACAACAAGTACTACTGCCCAGAGGTGTTCCTGGACGCGGTGGCAAGCAAGCTCGCGTCGACGGCGGTGCTCTTCCTCAACGTCGAGCTGCTGTCGGAATTTAACTACAACTTCCCGCGCGAGCTCGACACCAGGCTCGGCCGCCACCTGTCGCAGGAGCAGATCGATAAGTTCGCCAAGGAGGACCCGAAGATCCGGAGGCACCTCGACGTCATCCAGCGCAAGGAGCTCCTCGAGCTCGTGCTGGAGAAGATGGAGAGCCTGCGCCAGCTCGAGGGCCGCGACCACCCCGGCGGTATGGGCGGCCGGAGGTCGCAGGACAAGAAGAAGGGCTGGGGTCTGTTTTGAACAAGAGAAAAGGGGGAAACCAAACAAACTGAGGGATGAAAGAGCAAACCCAGGTTATGCCGATTATACGACTCGCTCACGACGGTTTTTTGATCAACCACGCGGAGTTTTTGTGGGGTCTTGTTTTATGCTTTTCTTTTTTGATGATTTATACAGCTCTTGGATGACTTGTTTACTCGACAATGGTGGCATTTTCTCATTAGGGTGTCGAACCTAGCCTTTTTTTCACGTCATCTCCACGTTGAGGATGGTGGTGGTGTGATTCTTGAACCTTTCCGGGCGGGGGGGCGCATTGAGGGAAGTGTAGAGCTGGTTTTATGTACAGAGTGCTAGAATACCCTACTCGGTTCCATGTATTCCATCCATCGTTGGGCGGGTAGGTAGGTAGGTTGGTGGGGGAACTAAAAGCGACAGAAGAGAAAGTCTAAAGCAAGTTACACAAGGCAAGGCCCGGGTGCTCCATTAAACACAATACTCGAATGCGCAAGCCCACACGGCGCAAACCACAGACGCGACGCCGTCTCATGGGCGGGCGTCTGTGCTGGTCTGCAGGGTGACCTCCCACCTCAGGCCGTTCCCGCGGCCGTAGCCCTCGCCCAGGCGGTTCTGGATGACGCGCGAGACGCGGCTGCGCAGCTGGCTGAGGGCGCCGTCGTCGCAGCCGACGACGACGCAGACCTTGAGGTTGGCCATGCAGAGGCCGTAGTGGACCTGCCAGAACTGCGCCTCGTCGACGCGCAGCACGTTGGGCTCGGCCTCGATCTCTCGCACCACGGCCGAGACGCCCTCGTCTGCAGCGCCAGAGCCGGAGCCGGAGCCGGAGCCCTGGGCGCCCCCCGCCGCCGGGTACGATGACGACGACTTGAGAGGAGATCCCCCCAGCCTCGCGGCCGCAGCAGCAGCAGCAGCCGCCGCCTTGGCAGCAGCGGCAGTCGGCGGCCTGACGACGTGGCCGCGGCCGCGGTACGACATGAGCAGCATCAGACCCTGGGCGACGGCCAGGCGGGCGCCGAGGACGAACATGCTGACGGCGATGGCGGCGCAGATGAGGCGGTCGAGCCAGACGAAGGTGCCAACGGACAGGAGGGGGAGGAGGAGCATCAGGAACGAGAAGAAGAGGGTGAGGAAGTGGAACGGGTTCGAGAGCACGGCCGGGAGCAAGGACGAGAGATACGAGGGGTACTGGACGAGCATGGCGCGGCCGATGCGGCCGTGGTTCTTGAGCCCGTAGGCGCTAACCAGGGTGGCCACGATGGCGGCCAGGCTGGCCGTGTCCACGGTGCCGGGGTTCACACGGTCGGCGTGCGAGTGCGCGTGGCCGTGGCCGTGGCCGGCGTGCGCGGCGTGGTCGGCGGGGCCGGCGGGGATGACGGGGAGGTGGTTCTCGTGCTCGCCGACGCCCTCAAGCATGTGCTTGATGTTGTGGCTCAGCAGGTCGAAGCCGCCAAAGATGAGGAAGATGGACATGGCGAAGCCGGCGAGGACCTCAGCGCGCTGCAGGCCAAAGGGGTGGCGGACGGAGCTGCGGCGCCAGACCTCGAAGTTGCCGAGGACGTCGACGCAGACGCAGATGGCGGCGGAGCCGACGTCGAAGAAGACGAGGTGGGACAGGGCCGTCATGGCCAGGCTGCCCGAGGCGGACAGGAAGACGTAGACGGCGACGGCGGCATGGCAGAGGCACCAGTAGAGGCGCAGGCGCTGCTCGCGGTACATGCTGGCCCAGGCCTCGCGCAGCGTCGGCACGGGCAGCGACGCGGGGAGCACGGGCGGGGGGCGCTGCGGTGGCTCCTGGAAGACCTGGTGCTGGGCAGATATGCTGCTGTGCTTGTAACGGTGGCCGCGGCGCTGGCCGACGTTCTGCGAGGCGGCGGGGGCGCGAGACGACGGGGTTAGCTTGCGGGCGCGAGCCCATCCGTCCATGCATTCCAGGTGGGCGCGGCGGTGACATGTTGGACATGGACACGTACCGACCGGACGGGCGAGGTGGATATTATCTGGGTCTGGAAGTTGAAGGGGTTGTCGCCGCCGCTTGGCCCGGCGCCGTCGCCGCCGTCCGGGGAGCCCATGGCGGGCAGCTGTAGAAAGGAGGCGGACGGCGAGGGCACGCGCAGGCAGGAGTCGGGGCTCAGGCGGGAGCTATTGGCAGTGCCCGGGCGCAGGTGCCGATTGGTGCCGGCGGGCGGCTCGGCGATTGCGGGCGGCGAGGGCGTCCGGGGAGGAGGGAGATGGCGAGGTGGAGGAAGCATGGGTCGGCGGGGACAGGCATCGAGCGGGAGTCTTGGTCTGGACGTTTGCGGTGCGCGGTCGCGGCGGCGGCGTAGAAGAGTGGAGTTGGGCGATAGGGCCAGATTGACTGCCAGAAGGCGGCCCGGCTCTGTTCGTCTCGAATCTCGGGCGGTGGTTTTGCTGCTTCCAGCCTAGCGCCGAGGCCCAGAACGGCTCTGTGCGCACCAGCGGCCGTGCAACCCAACCCACTGCCAGCCTGGGAAAGGTGTTTGCCGGATGTTTGTTTCCCTGTTTGATTCCCTTGCCTTGAGTCTCTTGAGTGCCCTGCATCACATCATCCACCACCACGCCGATTCAGAAAACCGAAAGGGATCGATTTGCTGCGTGGATTCCAGCTCCAAACTGCCGCCCGCTTGTCGCCCACTTGTCGCTCACTGTCACTGACGCACAATTGTGGGTAACCTGCAAGCCAAAAACAATTGAACTCAGGGGCTTGATTCGGCCCATTAACAGCCAGAATCAAAGGCCAGCAATTGACTTTGAGCATGCGGAAACCACCACCATCACCACCACCAGTTCCCAATACCCATTTTTTGTTATTGAACAGGCACTTGCTCCAATAGGTTGCCTATTAATCGCCCTCCACATGAACGACAGCACTCCCATGCCTTCAGCCCGGAGTTAGCCGGCCAAAACAACAACCTGCCGCTACCATTACCAAACTGAGTATCGGCTTCTTATCGTGCTTCTCTCCACCCATAGAGGCTCGAGGGAGGAGCCGTCATCAGCCCGCAAGCTGAAATACACCCCAGCCAGGCACCGCAAGGATCGTCGTCAGCCCAGCCCCCCTCACTTTGGAGCACGCACTGCTGGATCCCAGCGCGCTCCACTGGCCCGGGGCCTGTCCGTTGGCGCCGTGCTTCGATTCTGCCGGTCCTCCGCTAGTCCCCTTGCCCACCACCACCTGACCTCGCGCGGTCTGCATTGACGCAATTACTAAGGCCCCCCAAGCCTCCCATTGCACGCTGCCGAGCCCATGGATCCATCATCCCAGACGGCGCCCAGTAGCGCCGGCCAGTCGCCGCCAGCAGCTACCGGCCACCGGCGCAGCGCCACTGGCACCAGCAGCTTCCTCTCCAAGCTGCAGGCCCCTTTCTTAAGATCCTCATCTGCTGCTGCCAGCCACCCGCCGCTAGACCACAGCAGCCCGGATGAGGGCGCACTTGCCGACGCAGCCGCCGCCGCCGCCGCCGCTGCTGCTGCTGCTGCTTCTTCCTCCCGGCCATACAGCTCCATCGCCATCGCGCTGCAGCAGCAGAAGACGCGCCGTAGGAGGGGTTCGCTCCGCAAGGTCGCCCTGCTAGGACGCCGAGCTCAGCACGAGCGCCGCGAGTCCGCCGGCGCTCTCGAATTTGAGCCGCAGCACGACGACCGGGCGTTGCCGCCCGTTTCTACTACGAGGAAGGACGGCTCGTCCAAAGCGGCGCCTCTGCCGTCGTCATCTTCTTCGCCATCACCATCCTCGTCGTCCTCTTCCCTACCATCCCTGACGCTGTCAACATCAGACGCCCAGGAAGCCGATGTGGACCTGGACGGGACGGGCATCTCAGATGACACCCCCCGCCCGTCCACCGACGGCGCCACTATAAGGATACCGACCAGCCCCGGGATCGAAGAAGCGGGGGCATCGGATTCGGTCCCGACGCCGCAAAGCCCGGGACATAGCGACGTTCCGCCAAATACCAAAATCATCGACGGCGACATCACAACGTCCAGTCCGACCATGATGTCCTACTCTACGACCACGACCGACGACGAGGACGGCCTGCACATGGCGCGCCGACGCGCCTCCACCGTCTCGCCGCTCCTGCTGCGCCCGGATCGGCTCTCGTCCGGGTCCGAGTCGTACTTCCCCAGCGGGGGGCTGCTCTCCCCGAGCGCCCGCGTCCCGCTGCAACGCCGGCGCTCGGAGCACCGGGCAAAGTCGCCCCTGTCGCTCGCGAGCCTGTCGCCGGCGATGCCGGCCCGGGGCGTCTCGCAGGAGCACCACCGGCACCACCGTCACCACCACCAGCACCACCCGGCCGAGTGGGACTACTCGGAGACGGAGTGGTGGGGCTGGGTGGTGCTGTTCGTCACGTGGTTCGTCTTCGTCACGGGCATGGGCTCCTGCCTGGGCGTCTGGAGCTGGGCCTGGGACGTCGGCACCACGCCCTACGCGCCGCCCGAGCTCGAGGACGACCCGACCTTGCCCATCGTGGGCTACTACCCGGCCCTCATCATACTGACCTGCATCATGGCCTGGGTCTGGGTCGTGGTGGCGTGGATGGGGATGAAGTACTTTCGCCATGCCAAGATCAGCGGCGACTGAACTGGCTGTCGGTGGCCCGTTTTGCTTGCACATAGATAGCGGTAGTCGAGCAAGTATGGAACATCATATGTGCGTGCCTTTTTTTGCTTATTTCCCCCCCTTTCGGCCAAGAAAGGATGGACCTTGTGGGGGTAGCTTCAGCGTGAACGCGACGAGTAGCGACTAGTACCGACGAGTAGTTTACCCAACCCTCGTGCGGCACTTTCACGAATGATGGGTTGTCCAACAGGGCTGGTTCTCCCCGCCCGGAGATAACATCGGCCCAACCCGTATACCGCAGAGCCCGTAATCATGTCGCCGATCCCGATCTTATAAAAGCGGTGGGTTCTTTACCGTATCTCTCATTGTAACATGTAAGGTCAGGAGATTGTTTGCTGGCGGTCTGTCTGGGTGGCGGGCGGGGGCTGGTCAAGTGAGGCTGAAGCTGAATGTGCGGTCAGCATCAAAAAAAGAAAGAAGAAAAAAGGTCTAGTGGGCACGTGTTCTCTGCATCCTGAGGGCGTGCGTGCATCATGCACCCCGACCCAAACTGCCCCCCCCCCCTTCTTTTTTTTTTTTGTTCTCGTCAAAGTATTTTGCTTTTTCTTTGCTTTCATTTTTTTTTCTCCCCTTGCCGCGCCCGAAAATACGACTGGCCAAGAGCACAGGGGAGAGGATCGAGGCGCTAAGCCAGCCGCTCCGGACCAACCGCGCCCACACTTCCTCCCACCTCTGTCCCGCTTAGGGCGTGCGTTTTCGCGCGCTTGAGCGTGCAGTAGCGCGCACCTAATAGAGCAAGGAAAACTAAAGGATGGGAGGGGGAACTCCCCCATGTGTTGCGTGTGTGATGCTTGGAATAATCTGGTGGCGGCCAGACAGGAGCGGTGAACACGCGCTTGCTGCTGGGATTGGGCGGGACAAGCGCTGAGAAGAAGGAAGGATGGTGGAAGAAACAACAATACTTTTGTGCATGTTGCTTGCTTTTGGGTTGTTTTCCTTTTTCCCGCCCCCTCTCTCGCAGCCTGGTTTGTTGGTAAAGGGGCACGCGCTTGTCCCATGCTATTTTCCTCTCTCGCTTTTCTCAACCTTGCGTGCGCATCACACTCGCTTTCCCTATGCGCGGCCTTGGTTCGATCGGTTTCAGACTGTCCGCGAAAAGGGCTGGGCGGTGTGTGTTGGGGGTGGCATGGCATGGCATGGCAGGGTGCATGGATGACGAGCCGTTCAATTTCACCACATCCCTCTCCCTCTCTCGCTTCCCTTACCTGGGAGGGGTTGGGGTTTGCGGTCTAGCCCGCGAGGCAAAAATAGAAAGAAGAGAAAAAAAAAGAAAGAGGCTACCAGGCGGCGGGCGGGCGGCATGTGGCGCGGGAGGGACGATTGATGGCTAGCTGCCACGAACTGACGTTTTACCTGCAAAAAGTCTAATAGACCAAGTTCCATCATCCCAAACCTTGCTCTTGCTGACCCACGGGTCGTGCCAACTGACACGCCCGGCGGCCGGGACCGGGAAAGGCTAGAGGGAGGGGTCTGGTCTAGCTGCTTGCCGTTGCCGCAGCCTGCCCCCCGACGGGCTGTTTGTAAGGTACCGTTTGTACCTCGCAGCTCACCTCGCCCCTTGCAAACGGCGCGGCGGGTTCGTCCTTTTTTTGCTTTGGTTCTCTGCACGTGGCTGCGACTTGCTGCCGAGTAAAGACCAAAACAGCAGCAGCAGCAAATTTTTAGGCGCAATGTGATGCAGCTGTGTTGCGCTTTGCGTTTGTGTGCCTGTTGGGCGCCTGTCATGCTCAGCAGAGCACATAGGTACTATAGTATCCGCACTTGTCCCATATGTACGTCCCCTGACCGAGATGGAGACAAGCACGGTGGAGTCGATCTTGGCCATTGCCTGCCGGCCGGGAAGGTCTAGCGGGCGAGGGTCGGGACACATTTCGGCTTCCTATTTTATTTTTATTTTTTTTGTTCATCATGGCGAGGGCTCCTTCATGCTGATTGTGAAACCCACCGTGGCTAAACTCGCCCGTTGAAATTGCTGGCCATCTATCCCGAGCGCCCAACTGCGGGGAATAGGATCGCTGAGCCTCTCTCCTCTGTGCTCTCGCTTCCTCTCTGCATTTCGCACCTCCTCACCTTGCAAGAAAAAAAGGCAGTCGGCCACTGCCACCTTCGGCACGCCAAAACTGCAGGGACCCCCCTCGCTAGCAGGTAAGCCCTTGGCTGCGATGAGGCGACTGGCATTGCTGTTCGATCCGAGAAAATCCCTGCCACCAAAAGCGGGCCTCCCTCGCAACGCACCCGTCTGCTGCCGCCAAGCAAACAAGACGTGGCGGGTTTTTTGGCTCGACTTTTTATGGCGGGGAACCAGGTCGACCGACCAGTGCAGGGGGGCGAGCAAAAAAAGAGAACGGGTCACATTGGCGGGATTTTGGGTGGTGCCCATAGCTCCCCTTTTAAGAGAACATCGAGAGCGATCAACAAGCAAGGACGGCAGTTTGCCCTCTCGAGTGGCGGGGTTGCTGTCAGGGTGTTATCCTGTCGGCCCCAACGGATGTGTCGGGTTGGACGGATAGGATGGCATGGACAGTGGAGAGGGAGAGGGAGAGAGCGAACTGATACCTACCTGCCCAACGAGCAAGCAATTGGCGGTTGACAAGCGAAAGCGGATCGTGAGGGGAAACCAAACGAGATATGGCGTGCGATGCTTCCAATCCAGCCCAGCCCGCGCCCAGCCTCTCACGGCGCCGAGGCCGTAAAAGAAGGAGATCGTCAGTGCCTAGGCGAAGATGCGCAGCTCACGCTAACGGGAGCTCTGTGCATCCAAGCCCGCCACTCATCTGGTGTTTGGTTCGGTGGGGTCATCGGTCCTTTGAAGCTGTTCGCCAGGCGGCGGGAGGAGAGGTCCCTATCTTGTTAGCGTCCCGTCGGGCCAATGGCCGCGGCTTGGAGCTGTCCTGTGGTGGAGGTGCCGATGGAACCGGGGGGGAGGCCGAGACTGGTCCGTGGCCACAGAAGGGGGGGTGGGAGTTGGTGTGTGTGTGAGTGAGTGAGAGAGTGTGTGTGCTCGCACCGAGAGGGGAAAAGAGGCCCTAGGACGACATAGGTTTCGCGGTGCGCGGCTGTCGACCAGTTTGGTTGGGCAGATGGAGAAGAGCTCAGTCACTCAGTCACACGGGGAGAAGGAGAGAAAAGAAACAGACACATCAGGCAGGTAAAGTACCAGGTACTCGGGTAAGCAGATAGACGCAAAAGCCAAGACTCGAGTCCAACAGCAACAACAGTAACCCCCAGGGCCATCCGCGGCCGCCATCATCATGATCCGTCATCCATCATCGAAAACAGCCAGGCCGGGATCCCCTCTGACTGTCGAGGCTGCACAACCCGAAACAGACGGTGCCGATGACGGGGGCACGCTGCCTTCTCCAACTCGCTGCAGAAAAATGCGGGTGCAGCGGCTAAAGCTGAGGCGGGCCAAGACGTCGCCGTGCACGAGGGAAAATGGATGGAGAGAGTGTGATTTGGTGGCCTGGTCCACCCGCACCGCACGCTGCAAGCCTGCACAGTGCGGGCTAACAAGACATTAATTTTGGCCTCTTTCATTGCTTCTTTGCTTCTCCCATTTTTCTTTTCTTTTTCTTTGTTCCTCTACAAAGTAGTACGGTGTTGCCTGCCGTTGGGTCGGCTTCGCGCCTATCTGCGTCTTCCTGCCCTGGAGAACCAGAGCGGCAGAGCTGGCGAGGCCCCCCTGCGCGGGTTTCCTGCCAACGGCCCGCCTCCCCCTTGGAATTGCGCAGGCTGGGCTGGCCTGCCGCGCAGTAAGGGGCAAGCAGGAGCCTAAGCAGCGGAGGCCCTGGCCGCTAGGCGACGAAACCAGCACGGGCGATGACGGATTGGATTTTGGAGCGTTGGGAGCCTTCCATTCCTAGATGCGGCCTGTGATCCTGATCTCAGATGTAGCGCCTGGGTACCTGTTAGTAGGTAGGTTTCTTTTTGCTCATGTCTGGCCCCGTAGTTTCCGCTACTCGTTAGACTGTCTGCCACCGGGATCCATCAGCACAGGCCATCCCTCCGTTCAGGTTCACTGCGGCTGGGCCTCTGCTGGATGGTTAGGCGTAGGTACAGTACCTACGGGAAGGGTGGATGTGCGTGTGTGTGTCAAGGAAAGACAAGGCCCAGCCCAGCCATGGGTGGTTCCAGCAGCCAGCCCAGCAATTGGCTCCAGTGTCCCCAGTGGAGGTGGTGGTGCCAGGCGAAAAAATTGCACTGGCAAGAGAAAATCGGGGGCCCAACCTCACCATCTTCAGACCCCTGCTTTCCCTCCTTGCCTCCTTCTTCTTTATTTTTCCCTGCCTTTTTGTCCACGCCCTCACCCTCGCCCACAACCGCCACCACACCTAATCCATCGTCCATCCTGCTCCTCACCCAAGCGGAAGAAAACACCCAAAGGGGAAGAAGAATGAATCAAACGCCCCGAATCGCACCGTTCTGTTGATTCCTCTCTTCCCCGACTCTGCCACTCGACCCTCGGCCGCCATTTCGTCTCGTCCGGTTTCCACATCGTACCTGTGGCGTTTCCACCTTCGATGCATCATCCTGCTGCCCTCTGCTGAGCCAACTGGCAGCGAGAAAAGAGGCGTGCCCACCCACCCCCGGCTGCCATCGAGTCCCCAGCGAGTCTCCGCCCGACGCAAGCAAACACTTTGAGAGCTGCAGCTGCAGTCTGCCGAGTGCCTCGTCGCCCTCGTCTTCGCCGTCCTCGTCCTCGCCGCCCTCGAGCGTCGTCTGCGCCCGACCGATTCCATTCCAACAAAAACAAGCAGCGCTGTCCCGGCATCTGCCCCCTTTCGCTAGGACGGGCCAGCCGACACCGACTTTTTTTTTTCTCGGCCGTGCTCCCGACGCAATTCCACCTCCAGCCAGACACCCCCGACCTCCCAGCCCGCAACCCATCACTTTGCATTAATCCTCATTCAACGCATTAATCGACCTGAGAACCTCTTCATCTGCCATCACACCCCATTTCAAGTCTTGATCCGCATCGTCGCCTCTCTTCTCACGACCAGTCTCGATTAACAGTGGCGTCGGGCCTTGACTTCTCCTTCACGCTCCCGACCATCGGCAATCGCCCCCTCTCCATCTTCTCTCGTCGCAACCGATTCCCTTGGACTGCAACCCGCGCCCGGTTGGGTACTCCTTCCATCGCCGACCGTCCTCCTGCGACAGCCACGATCCGTGGCCAGCCGCCGCGATGAGGGAAGTCAACTTTAGCATCCCCAACGTCAACAAGGCGTCGGTGGGCATCACCACCGCGCTATACGACCGTCGTGCGCTCGACTGCACATCGACACTCCCCCTTATCAACTCGCTTAATCATCTCGCATACCTCACCACCTCGTCCGCCCGCATCAGGGACATCCTCACTGTCGATGGCGGCATCGAGCGGTTAATCTGCATCCTCAAGCAGGGCAGGAGCAAAGACATGATGGACATGTGGAAATGGAACCTCGCCTTCCAGTGCGTTGTCAACATAGGCGTCAGAGGCACCGAGGGTGTACGCACCAGGGTCGTCGAGGCCGACATGGTTCCCGTCATCGCCACCATTCTCGACAACTACATCCAGGTCGTCGAGAAGTGCCGCGAGAAGCAGGAGGAGGCCAAGAAGCAGCTCCAGGAGCACCACCACAGCCGCAACCGTGAGCACAGGAGCAAGGCGTCCAGCTTCACCAACAGGAGCGGTCGCGTTGACGTCGATCACCGCTCGTTCAGGAGGCAGGCTCCTCCGCCATCCATCGACATCGGTGCCCCATTTGCAGGCCCTTCATCGGCTGCCGAACAGATCGCCCCTGACGGCGCCTCCATCGCCGCCATTTCGCAGCAGGTCACCACGCCTTCCGACCGAACCCAGTTTGCCATTCACCCCCGTGGCATCCATCATCGCCACCATCACCACCGGGGCGGCGCCGAAGCCCACCCCGGCCTTCCATCGCCCTCGCGACAGACCATCCAGCCCCTCGCCGCTGCCATTCAGCCCATAATGGAAGCTAACATGGCCACCGACCGTTTTGTGAGGCCCGTCCGTGACATCGACAGGCTTCCCTCAATGATGCCTTTTGCCCCCACAACCATTTCGTCCCAACCCGCCTCTCCCACGACTCCTCTGCCTCCTCCGCAAATCCGGTCGCCCACCGTGAGGCCGGTTTCAATGCTTGTCCCTGCCGTTCGTTCCCGGCGGCGACCCTCCATCCGTCACCAGAACTCCACGGCGACGGCGGACTCGGACGAAATTTCTGCCGACGGCATGCAGTCGGACGAGTCTCCCGATGCCGAGATGTCTGGCACCACGGAAATGCAGACCGCTGTCAACATTCAGGACATCTCGATGGAGGAAAACGACAGCATTCTTGCCGGCGCGGCCATCGAGCTCAACACCCCTACCGTTTCCGAGACGCAAGACGCCGACACTTTCAACATCACACACCGCGGCCCGATGGACGGCAGCATTGCCAACAACACTGCTGTGACCCCGGTTCCCGTCATCGGGCTATCTCCGAACCGACCGGCCATGGTGACGCCGCCCCAGCCGTCAACTCTGCAGACCAGCGTGCCTCGCTACCTGCTCGACCGCCAGGTCACGCCGAACCCGCAGATGCTTGCCGCCATGCCCAGGGAGGAGGATGTTCTCATGTCGCTACAATTGTTGGCATATGTTTCCAAATACTGCAACCTGCGCTCCTATTTCCAAAAGAGCCATCTGGTGCCGCGCCTGAAAATTGGCAAGGAGATCCAACTCCTCGATGGCGACGACGCCGCCCTTGATTCCCCCCTGGACGAGGAGCTTGAGGAGGAGTACCTGCTTCCCAACGACCTCAACATCTTCCCGCTTGTCGAGAAGTTCACCGTCAGGTATCACTCGACCGATATGCAGTACTGGGCCGGTGTCGTTATGAGGAACCTCTGCCGCAAGGACGACACCCGCGGGGGCATCCGCCAATGCGCCTACTACCAGTGCGGCAAGTGGGAGGAGTTTACTCGGCAGTTCGCCAAGTGCCGCCGTTGTCGCCGCACCAAGTACTGCAGCAAGGAGTGCCAAAAGAGCGCTTGGGCCTTCCATCGCCACTGGTGTGTTGCGGCTACGCAATGACGAGTGATGAAGGAGCAGTTACGATACTTCCTGGGTCGACGACGATACGGTGCGAGCGGCATCACCCGCCTCCGCCACTCTCATCCGACCGACATCGCCCTCTTTACCGCTTTATTTATGCTTACCGGACGGATGCGGCATAGCAAGCAAAACACGAGCATATCAGAGTTGCATGGCGTGCTTTTTTTGTGATACCACGATTACCAACATTTTCAACCCTTTTGCGGTCCCCCCTTCTTTATTTTTTATTCCCACCAATCTCCCCGGGTTCCCATGTCCTACTCGGCCCACAGGCATCCATCCATTTATTTTGAACCTCATGGATGGGTTGCCTTTTCTTCTTTCTTTTGTCCTTTCCTTCCCCCTTTGTCTCGATATATTACGGGCAACGACGGAATACCAATCCAATGCTATTAGCTCACTAAAGCGCAATCATCAGGGTATACCCCTTGCCTGGGTGGATTTTGTAGGGATGCTAGTGGAGGTCGCTATAGACCTCTCTGACTCCCAGCCACCTTATTCAGGGCTGTGTTTACATGTTTTATTCTGTGTTTTCTATGTGCCCCGAATCTACGATATTCATCCATCCGTCTCCCTTCCAGAAGCGTCATTGATGTGGAATGGCCGGCAGCGAGTCTGTTTGGGATTGTTTTCATCTGAAATCTGCATTACCATTACGTTGAACATTTGCTTCGCTCGGGGAGGGGCTGGCCGTCACTTTTCAAAGACCGGGTGTGGCTTTGTGATGGCGTCCTTTGGATCGACTGTTGAATCACATTGTTGCAGCAACCTGGCACTCGTGTCACTTTCTCCCTTTTTTCTT